GGGTTAAAACGAGGGGCTGGCTGGCTGGGTTTGGCTGGGTCCTTTTCCCTCTTGTTACCCTCATTCCTACTCTAGACTAGCTATGGCTTAGGGCGTTTCACCTCCCGGTTCGAACAAGCCCCTTGTTCGAACAGGCGGAGTGTTACAAGCTTCGCCACTATTCGTAGGCACCTTAGCGATGTCGCCAACCCTAAGTTTCGCCAATTCGAACTATGCTGTCACATCAGGCATTTTGCCAAATGTGTTGCACGTTAGAACGGCCCTGTTCGAACACAGAATGATAGGCGTGCCCCACCCAGCATAGACGACACGTCTGATTGGGCATCACTCCGCCTAGTCGCAGGCGAATTCGTTTGTTCACCAGAAACTGTCGCAGTGCATCGAAAAGGCAATTGTTGCTGGGAAACAACCAGGTGAGCAGTAGTGGTTGTGCACGAAGAGAAATTTGACTGGATGGGCGAAAAATGCGTCGAACTGGAATGGCAGGCGATTGAAAAAAAATTCCTGGGACGTTTTGCGAAGTCGCCCCGTACATGGCGACGTCGCATGTTCGAACATGCTATCACCTCTGGTCACGAGCTGTCACATTCACCAGGATTTCAAACTTGTGTTCGGATCTTGTCGGAAAACTGTTCGTACGGTAAATTCGTAATGGATGTTCGGATTCGAGCCTTCCGGCCCCAAGGTGAAGCGCCCTTAGGGGTAGGTGGCGTGCTGGCGGCGCACTACGGGCTGGCGTCGGGCTGCCTTGTGGCACTAAGGGCGCGTAACTTTTTCCGTTTCGGGCAAATGTCCGGACGGGGGCCCCAAATCGTCCGAACGGAGCTCCGTCCGGACGGTTGGGGATGTGGTACGGACGACGATGAGTCCGTACCCCTATTATGACACTTTTTTGCAGTTGCGAAAACTGCATTTTTAGCGAAACAGTAACGCTTATAACCCACCTCGTCAGCAAATCGGCCGCTTTGCATGCATGAAGTTGTGTCAGAAAAAAGCCGGACTGTAGAGAGTTCGCTTTTTTGTAGTGCTGTGAGTCTGTGAGCCCGTTCGGACGATAGTGGAACTTCTGTGTTGCCTTTCCGTCAAAACGTGGTTTTGGCGAGCAGGAAACCGAGTCGCCAGAACTGATAAAAATGTATATTTTTAAAAGCTGTAATGCTTTTTAAAATTATGTATTTCGAAAGCGAAGCTGCCTGTAATGTAGGATTTGGCAGCGTCGAGCCGCGCTAAACGCCCGTTTTGGAGTACAAAACGTGGGCTGGAGGTCATTTCCCTCCACCCACGTCTCTCATTTTCAAACGGTTTAGCCGATTTGAAGTCTCAATTTTCACTCTCGATTTTCGTCTCCCTTTCCAAGCTGGCGAAGTTGAAGTCTCTTCCCCGTTTTCAATCTCCGTCAACTTTACTCTCGGACATCCTCGCACACAACGCATCAGCTATGGCACTTAACGGCGGCGAGGTTAATACCACTACCGCCCCCTCTCGACCCGAGTCCGGAAGAAACGCTCGCGAAATCGCGGGCGATCGCCCGAACAAGCGCCGGGCAGACGACGGGGAAAATTCCCCGACTGGCGTCGACGTCCTGCTCGGCCCGACCGAGGCACACGCCACGGGCGTCGAGGCACGCGCCCCTGGTGTGCCTCGAGCCCCTGTGGCCCCTGACGCGCCGGCCACGACAGAAGGCGCCAAATCGGCACCAACCAGCACAGCCGGCACCCCGCGTCCGCGTCAGCGCCGCAGGCCCGCGGGCCCTGACGCGCCTGTGGGCCCTGACGCGCCTGTGGCGCCTGACGCGCAAGTGGCGAAGGGTGCCCAAGTGGCGCCAACTTTTTCTGCAGCCCAACTGCAGCAGCTTCTGTCCCTGTTACAGCAGCACGCCCCTGCTGTTACTGAAGAAATTGCTACACCGAACGCGACTTCCGTTTCTGCTAAAAGCGAAAAGGCGAAAACGGAGCCTGTCAAGCGCGCTCGCACGACAAAAACCGGAAGGGGCGAAGACACACGCGCCGCCGCCACTCCAGTCACGAACAACCCTATCGACAGCGACAACGAAGACGACGACGATGGTGAGGCACATGCCGTAAATGCCTCTTTCGCACCCGTTGAGCAACTCCCCCCACTCCCCTCACCCAATCCCACTCTAACCGCCGCCTCGTTCAAGAACGCTGCCGTGCGCGAGCAAGCCGAGGTCCTGGAACACCTGCGGGCGTACCTGAAGCATGCGGAGCACAAAGTGCGACACAATGAGCCGGAAAGCGCCCTCGAATACCTTGGCGAAGCCTTCACACTCATCAACAACCGCTTCAAGCTACTCCATGTCGCCGACTACACCAACTTCCGCACCGCAAATCGCTTCAAGCTCTACGAAGATAAGAGTGTCTTCACCTCACGTCCGTTCAAGCAGGCCGTCGCGGACGTGGCGGCCATGGAGCGCGCCCAAGGCAATTTCACTCGCACTCCACGTGGCGGAGGGCGCGGGCCCATGGCATTTGGCAACAAGCGCGGTCCCCCACTTGATGGCAATGGCAGGAGCTTTCGTGGCTCATGCTTCCGTTGTGGGCAGCCGGGCCACATGGCCAATGCTTGCCCGGAAAATGGGGGAGGAGCCCAAGGGCCGGCGCCGGTGGTGTGAACACCCTAGGGGGTGGTGCCGAGAGGCTCGAGTGAGGGTGATGGCATTAGGAAGTGCGAGGCCGCTGGCCTATCCCATAGGGGATGTGAGAAAGGCCGCGGGCCTACCCCAAGGCAAGGGGTGTAGGACTAGGAGTCCTAGGTGAACATGGGATTGGAAATAATGCTTGTATGCTCTTATGAATGAGTGGAAAGGCCTAATGGGCGAAGTTGTTGGACTTGCTTGAAAAAAAAAAAAAAAAAAAAAAAAAAAAGGGAGCATGCGCTCTTGATGTATGGACCTGAAACAACAAATACCCGCATGGCATGGTGGCCTACGGTACACGCGAACTAGAGAGCGAGAGAAGGAGAGAGATAGAGAGTGTATAAAAGGGAAAGTGATAAGATGTTTGGGCTATGCACCCATACAATGCAAAGGAATCATGTGCGAAGGGGGGGCAAAAGGAAACGAGATTGTGTGGGACTTGGGGTCCCACAATACCACGGGCTCACGCCATAATGCAAGACAAAGGTGGCCTGCCAATCATGGAAGGCGGCAAATGCCCATTCAAAGAGTACGCGAAAAAAAAAAGGAGAGAGAGAGAGAGAGAGAGAGAGAGAGAGAGAGAGAGAGAGAGAGAGAGAGAGAGAGAGAGAGAGAGAGAGAGAAAGAGAGAGAGAGAGAGAGAGAGAGAGTGAGAGAGAGAGAGAGAGAGAGAGAGAGAGAGAGAGAGAGAGAGAGAGAGAGAGAGAGAGAGAGAGACGACTTGCTCAAAGACTAAGGCCAGAATCACCGAGTCGGGTGGCAAGTATCACCACTCTCACGCGATTGGTCCAAATATTCACTCGGTTTTTGCCAGGATTGGCTTCCGAGCTTCCAACCAAACCTACTGCCTGGGCTTTTGTCTGAACCTACCATTCCCAGTCGACTTCCTTGTGTAATTTTGGGTCTTGGGTTTAACGAGGCATGCCCCGTGTTGCCCCCACACCCTATGGTCCAATGGCCACAGATATGCCGGGGGGTGGAACGATCGAGGGGAGTGGCCCCTACGAGTTTGCAATCACTGACAAGGTCGTCACGACCATGCGTGGGCGCCTGCGCACGACATTTCCATGGTGGATGTCATGGTGTGAGAGTAGCTTCATACTCTCGGTAATCTCCAACGGCTATTGGATGCCATGGAAGCAGGGCCCACCTACGCCGTTCCGGCAGGACAACCACGCGGGAGCGCTAATTCATTCCACGTTCACCAAGCAAGCAATAACCGAGCTTCTCGAGAGTGGTGCGGCCGCTCCCGCCCCAGCGGAGCAACAGCTATGTATCAGCCCGCTGAATGTCGTGGTTCAAAGAGAAAAGTGCCGACTGATTCTTGACCTCCGAAGGGTGAACCAACATCTGTGTATCCCCAAATTCAAGTACGAAGGACTGAACCGGGTGGCGGAGCTCGTTCACGAAGACGACTGGATGTTCGCAGTCGATTTAAAATCGGGATACCACCACGTCGACATCCACCCTTCATGCTGGAAGTTCCTCGGGTTCCAATTCGACGGGCGCTCGTACGTTTTTCAGTCTCTACCATTTGGTCTGGCGACAGCCCCGTTCGTTTTCACGCAGCTCATCAAGCAGCTTGCCCGCCGTTGGCGGGCGCTCGGGGTGCGAGTCATCCCTTACGTCGACGACATCCTCTTTCTGTGTCGCACGGCAGCCGAAGCGAGAACTACGGGTCAGATGGTGGTGCAAGACCTCAGGAAGGCTGGACTGGTTATCAATTCTAAGAAGTCGCACCTGCAACCCACCCAGCAACTGCGGTTCTTGGGTGTCGAGTTGGATACACAACGCGGCCAGTTCTCCATTGGCCCCGAGCGGCGAGCATCATTACGCTCAACCATTCATGAATTATGCATGGCCGGCAAGGCCGAACGCAAAGTCCCGATCCGACACGTCGCCAGAGTTA